CTCTCTCCTGTCAAACATTTCTCCTGGGCTCCAAGTCCTTATGTCCATCTTCCTACTACTGAGAAGTTCCTCCTGGGCATCCCATTGGTGTCCTAACTCAGTTTCTCTAAAACCAAAACAGCTCCCTCCAAGCACATGCCTTTCTCTATTCCCTATGACCAGCTACCAGGTTGTCGAAGCTAGAATACAAACAATGTCTTAAAGCTTCTCCCTTTCATTCAATGTCACTACTCCCATCCTCTTAATTCTGCCCAGACCCAACTATGACCTTGACCATGTTCTAATCTTCTGAGCTACCAAAAAAAATTCCTACCTGGTCTCCCTGCCACTAGTTGTGCCCTCTATCACTGGGCTCCATGCTAAGAGAAATGCTGTAGAACAAAGGATTGCATCATTCCCCTTTTCAAAACTTCTGATCTTTCCTGCTACTCCCAGGGCAAAAATTTGAGCATTGGATAAGTGGACCAGCAAAGGAAGGCCTAGAGGAAAGAAACAGCTGACACCAGAGCCCAAATCAAAAGAACCCTTGAAAGGAGCCATGTAGGTCAGAGAACTTGGGTGAGGAAAAAACCAAGGGACCTTTGAAACACAAAGCAAACTGTAACAGCTCACAACACAACCAGGCTTACCCAGCCAGGGCCAGGAGGCCAAAGGGCTATGATAAGAAAGCTGCAGGGCAACTTGCCACCTTCTGAGCTAGCCAAGAGAGACCCAGGGAAAATGTGAGGGGGCTCTCAGCAAGGACCTAACGAAGTTACCCTCTCCCCTAACACCTACTAGTACACACACACCCACATGTCCTGACCGCCCATGAACTACACTAGTACCAGCAGAGCGCAATCCGCCTAGAGGCCCAAATTGCCAGGTAATTCCTTAAAGGGCCCACAGGAATCCAGACCAAAGTACCCCAACCAGATTCCACCTCTCTTCAAAGAATAAAACGGCCTGTCAGCACATCTAGGAAAGGTCAAAACCTCTGGTGAGTCACATAGACAGTGAAACCCCACTCCCAATGAGTCGTGCAATCTTCTCCACAATACTATCCCATTGATTATAGGCACATCAAATTTTTTCTTAATCACAGACAGCTTTGATAAACCTATATGAGTCAAAACCAGCTTCTCTCTGCCAGAATTTTAGGGACCTCAACACCAAAACACTAGGCGGGGCAGGGGAGTCCCAAGAATTTTTCTCAATGTGGCTGATCTGCCAGCCCATACCCTCAGTGGTAGCCAGATGGAAATACTCCTATTTTCTGTAAGTATCTTTGGCCATGCTGCCCCATTACTCAGTCCGGTCAAATCTTATCCATCCTCAATAGCTTGTTCCAACCAGCAGCTCCCTCTGGAAATCCTACTCAGCCTCACTCCACAACGCAGGCTCTCCAATGACTGGCAGCTCTTTCCTGGTGCTCGTCCCATTGTAGCACGAAGGAAGTAACTCCGTCTTAGTCATCTATCTTCTGTGCCTCAAACAATGTCTAGCCTATCTGAGATACTCCACTTGTGTTGGATGAATGAACTCCGAAGTCATAAGTTCATCTTCTCCTACGATGCGACAGCAGGAAAATACAAGTATGTTGTGTTGGAAGCTGCACTGGAAACTAAACACTAAATGGGATTCTACTCTCAATCCAGCCAGGTCAAGAACTTGGGGGGGAAATGCACTCATCCTTTTGCAATCACGTACAAAGGCGAAAGAGAACGAGAAACAACTAATGGCTCCTGACTCTACCAGATGGGCTAGGGAAAAAATCTGTCTTCCTGTGGGGGATGGTGTCTACAGACCAGTTTCCCTTGTTACTAAAGTTCATAATATAAAGATTATCCGTGTGTTTCCTGCATGAATCAGAAATTTCAAGGAAAAGGTTTCAAATTATTCTTAAAATAATGAGCTTGGAGTCTGATGGGACTCTTAGAGTAACACCTAAATAGCCAATGAATTGTTCAACATGAGAAAACACTGGAAACTAAACAGACTATGCTTTCTACAACTGTGTGGTACTATCTGCTCAGAGGGAAGAGAGAGAGGGAGGGAGAAACACAGGTTAAGAAGGCTAAGAAAAAGGAACTAAAAATGAGAAAGGACTGCCCGGGGAAGGTGCAAGACAAAAACAGGTCTCTGGACAGAAAATGTAGGAAACTAAAATTAATGTCTACACAACAGGTTGATGTGGACAGGAATAATACGGACTTTTTAACAGAAGACATTTGAAACATTTACTTAGAATCAATAAAAAGTGCTCTCTTACACCACATATATTTTCATCACAAGAAAGTTTTGCCCTAAGATGTAATTCAGACTAAAATATGAATTATTTCAAGAAGCTTCTCTGTTCATCGAATGTAAATTAGTTATAAGAACCTAGTTTGGGGATATATCTCATTAAGAAGAAATCTGGAATGAAACAGGAAGTGTACATGAAGCATTTCTGTAGCACACCAACGTACTATGGTTATCCTGAAAATCAACTTGTGCGCTGATTTTGCATTGTGAGCTAAACTAGCCACATGAACTATTTTTCATGAACTATCACTTTTACTTTAAAGAACTGACAGGCTTGGTTATTTAAACTCCTGTATTTGACCTACATTTTCCCAAAAATGAACAAAGTGAGCCTGGCACTTCCAAAGGGAAAAAAAAAAAAACAAAAAACAAAAAAAAAACCCTGACAGTATTTGTTGCCAATGATAAAATTTGAGCTTTCAGGCAAACGTGATTTTTGGAAAACTGCTTCCCAATAAAAGAGAAATAAGGAGACTTTTTTTTCTGCTAAGTAATACTGGGTTTGGGAAATAGATATAGCTTAACAAATTGATAGCACTTTATAAGTATTGGGTTTCATTCTCCTTACTGGCTTTAGTCAATTTTTTTAAGTTCTAAATTTAGGACCCACAAAAACAGTAGCTTAAACTGTGTCAACCTAATTGTCTATAAGAAAACTGCCAAATTTTTATGATATATAAGTGATTAGTCTGTGGCAAACGTTAAACTCACACATAACTGAGAAAAAAGTATTAGTATTACGTATCAATTGAATTTTAAGAATCTACAGATAATATATCAATGCGCCAAGAAAAAAAAAAAAAGGATGACTACCAAGTAACAGAATTCTGATCTCCTTTGGTTAACATTTTGAGTATCATAACTTCAACAAGTTATTCAAAATACCAAGAAAGTAAAAACATTGTTGCCTAAGCGCAAAAAACCTTTTTCTGCAAAACCTCTCAAAGTTAATGTCTGAGTAACCAACATCACTCAAAGATTTCCAGCCTTTAAAGAGCTACATGACAAAGTAAAAATGGCTGTAGACGGAAGAGTTAATTTCTATGACTGTCAAAATGGCAGAGGACTTTAAGAAAAGCCAGCCAAGGGCACCTGGGTGGCTCAGTGGGTTAAAGCCTCTGCCTTCAGCTCAGGTCGTGATCCCAGGGTCCTGGGATCGAGCCCCATATCGGGCTCTCTGCTCAGCAAGGAGCCTGCTTTCTCCTCTCTCTCTGACTGCCTCTCTGCCTACTTGTGATCTCTGTCAAATAAATAAATAAAATCTTTAAAAAAAAAAAAAAGCCAGCCAAATAACTACTCTCAAGTCCACTGAACACCACTGTAATTTCTACTACAGGCTTCCAGGGGTTTTTATTTAGCCTAAAGAAAAAACTGCTTTAAAAGAAAATAACATCTTAAAATATTCACACTTGTTAAAGCTTTAACCTCAAATTTCTATTTTGGAATACATCAAGGTTTCAACAATTTATGTCTTCTCAAGCATCATTATCTTAATTTACACATCTTACTTGAATTCAAAAATTTCATCAAGAAAAAGTCACAGTAATTCTGTTCTAGGAAATGCAACAGTCTTCATGAGGTTTGCATCTTCCTTCTCCTCTGCAATTCATTACAATACTCTATTATAATCACACAAGACAATGCTCTGATACTAATGCCATCTCAAAATTCTGCAGGTGTTTTCATTGTATAAGAGGCCATACATTTTTGACTTACCCAGGGAGAAAAGGCCCTGGCTCAAAAGACTACTAGTGTCTAAAAAGAAATAATAGGAGACACGCACTATTACTGAGTGAACAATAAACTTATATTTTACACTAAATACATTAACATTAAATACATACCATAAATATTTAACATTAAACACATAATGGCCAGGAAAAACGCAGAAAAAGTTTTGGAGATACAATGTGTTTTAATATCCATACGAAGTTCTTATTTTTTACTCATTAGAATGCCACACTGGCACCTTTCAACCAAAGGGGACTGAGTACTTAGAATATTAAATGACCCAATCCAAATAGATTCTTTAAAAAGGTATTTGACCCAAAATATGATAAATAGGTTAAAATGTTAAACTACAAACAATCCTGTATAACTGTCACTTTAATCACTGTATTATCTCAGAAATCATCCTAACAGGTAGCAGAATCTACCTACCCTTGAAAAGCTGACTAAAGAATGGAGCATTGTTTTCACAAGAAAACTCATCGCCTAAAAATTCCTGAAGTGTGGCACAAATGTTCACTGACCCCATTCTAAAAAAGTGACCTAGAATACTAGAATACATACATTCTTGAACTCAATCACATCCCCTGGTGTTGGTTTCTCCTTCTTATTTTTAAACCAGTTATTATATCCGAGGGTGTTTGAATAAAACCTGGATTAAGCACCGAGTTTAAGCTTCAAGAGCTGATATCACATGAATAAAGCTGTCAAGAATACTCGAGAAAGCGACCAGGGCATCCGGCAAAATTACACCTAATTTTGCTACGTCCATTTAATGCAGTCTTTTAAGTTAGTTAAACCGGCACAAACGAAACTCACGTACTAAAGCCATGCCCCGAGCGGTTTATCTGACACGTCTGAAATAACATTTCAAATAAAATGCTTTCTGCCAGTCTCCTGTTTATACACCTTCCAAATCCCATAAGTAACATCCTGCATTTCCTACGGTGTGACTGTGGGAAGGGAGGGTGTGTCTCGGTGCTTACCGATGCCCGGAGCCACATAGACGAAGTAGAGGCAGGAGGAGGAGAGGGAGAAGAAGAAGATGAAGGCGAGGAGGGAGCGATTGGAGACCCGCATCATCCTCTTGAGCACAGACATCTTTCTCTTCCCGGCCAGCAGCTCAGGCTGCGCTCTCACGCCGGACTTGGGGGCACCATCCAGGCCCTAAACTTCCATGAATGTACCAAGAACCCCGAGACTGCAACGGGGTCCGCGCGGGGAGGACCAAGGGGAGAGGGCCGGAGCGGGAAGGAGGGAAGGGGAGGGAGCGGACGGAATGAATGGGAAGCCGGAGAGTCGGGGGAGGGGAGGCGCGGGAGGAGAGGAGGAAGGGGTGGAGGAGGGAAAAAGGAGGCAAGGCGTGGGGCGGGGGGGCCGGGGACTGCCGGACCTGCGGAGGCCCAGGAAGGGCAAGGACGCGCCTTTTATCCGCCCCGCAGCGGCGGGAGGAGGGGCTGCAGGTGGGAAGAGGCGCGGGCTGCGCGCCGCGGCGCTCCTGCGGAGAGGGGCAGCGAACTGCAGCGCGCCCGGGCTCCCCCCGTACGCTGGGGTCCGGGGCGCTTAGCCCCCGCGCTCGGGAAGCGGCCCGCGCGCGCTCGGCAGGCCTGCGCCGCCGCCTCGTCCCGGCCGCGGCGTCTCGTGCCTGCGCGGGGCTAGCGTGGGCGCCGGGGCCGCAGTCCGCGCGCGCGACGCGCGGGGGCCCGCGGGGGCCCTGGGGGCCGAGGAGCTGAGCGCTCGCGGGCGCGCAGCCTCCTCCTCATGCCGCGCCGGGCCCCGGCGCCCCGCGGCGGCCGCGGGAGCGGTGCGCAGACGAGGGCGGCGTCCCGGCTAGCGGCGAGCGCGCTCCGACTCTGGCTCCTGCCACCGCCAGCTGCCCGCCCGGCCGCAAGGGCGGCAACCGCAGCAACATTACCGCCGCCGGCCTGGGGTGAGACGACCCCGCCGGCGCCGCCCCCACTCCGCCCCCGGACACCAGGCGTAGAGCGGCTGGGCGACTCGCGCTGCGGGCAGACCCCGGGAGCCCGAAGAGGAGGCCGGGCGCCGTCGGAGCCGCGTCTGGGTCGCTGAAGGGGGACGGGCCTGAAAGGGCGGGGGAGCCGCGGAAAACCGAGGACCGGCGCGTGCGCCCGGAGACCCCGCGGGGCTCCGCGCCTGAGCTCGAAACTGCAGGCGGCGCCGCCGGGGCACCCGAGAAAACCTGGAGGCCCCCACCCACCCGCTCCCCTCCCTTCGCCCCAAACACCGCGCCTCCTGATTGGCCGGCGCCGCACCGCGCCGAGCAACCTGCCCCCTCCCCTCGCGCAGCGACCTGGGCCGCTGCCGCCTCCTGCGTCACCGCCGCCCCCGCCTGCCCCGGGACCCCAGCGCCAGTCGTGCTGCTCGGAGCTGAGGGATAGGTCTTGAGCCTCAATACGCAACCCCCCCACCCAGGGATCGTTAAAGAAGGATGATGTACCTTGAGGGAAATGGGTATCTCGAGGAGGGGACTTCAATGGTGTAATTTCCTCCCAAAATAGACGCTCCGGGAGCAAGATTTTTTTTTTCCGGTCCCGGATTAATGAAACCTTCCATCCCGCACTTCTTACAGAAACATACTGCTAGGATGTGTTATGGATCTATGTATATCCCTTATAATGGGACTTGCCTTCTCATCTGGAGGTGAGCGCCGGTGGTCTCTACGGTAGCTCTATCCATTCAGGCGGGGCCGAAAAGACTTCTGTGCAGCCAATTGGCCGTTCAGTACTGCAGCACCAACCAGCTTCAATTGGCAAATTGTTTTAATTCCCCTCCTAGGCCGTGGTGTCCCTTTGTTCAAAAAGGAGAGACCTTTGGTAAGTAAATAAATTAGCCTGGAGCCTTAGTTCAGCTATCTCAGTTTGCCAACCTGTGTGTGAAGGTGTTTCAACTAATCATGTAAGTGGCTGGTTGCGCCGCCCCCCTCCCCGCCTTATTTGCTCAGCATTTCCAGAGGCAGTGTGTTGACCCGTCACTTGATTGCCAGCAAATCTGGTACATTCTTAGCAAGCCTTGGATCATCTCTTAAATAATACTGTGTTACATGGAGCCTGAAACACCCGGATTTATACTTCACTAAGGCCTTTTATTAACTGTGAAATTCATGGCAAGCTAGGCAAGCTACTACCCTCTGCAAGCCTCTCTCCGTGGCCCTCAAATGATGACCCCACCTTGCAAGGCTCTGGGGTTGAACGGGGTAACTGTAAAATGCCAAGTGCTATGGCTGGGACCTAAAGAGATTCCCTCATATTCCATTTGACAGTTGATTGAATGGAATCGCCAAGTTCAAATTCATTTTTTAATATTTTGGTTTTTTTGGAATTCTCTGGCTGATGGGATATTGAATGTGGAAGGAAATGACACTATTCTGTAACATTTTTAGATGCTTAAGGGGAATGTGAAATACAAACAGAGCAATATTAAATGAAACTCACTTAAAAAAATACCTATGCAAAAGAAAGAAATCTATGAATGGTACAGAAGCAAAGACGTTCCCCTCTCAGACCCTATGGACTTTTCATCTCTCTGTTCCCACAATTCAACCATCATGCTGGCTTAGCAATGGCCAGGTCTCAGGCAAGGTTGACTTTTTATAAGGAAAGTTTATTATGTAACCAAGAGGGAAGTATTAACCTTGTAGAAATTGATTATTAATCTTACTGTAGGAAATCCAACTACTAGGTATAGATGTGCCTTGCTGGCATAGACGACTGCCATGGCTGTTCTCTCACGTTCACCACAGTACTTGTTAAAACTAATTGGCTGCTAAGAGAGTAAATCTTAAAAAGTCACATCGCAAGAAAAAAAAAATTATAACTATGCACAGTGACAGATGGTAACCAGACTTATTGTGGTCATCATTTTGGAGAGTATACAAATATTGAATCATGCTGTGTACCTGAAACTAATGTAAGATTCTATGTCAACTCTACCTCAATTAAAAAAAATCAATTATAGAAAAAAAATTTTCAAATTAAAAAAAAAAAGCCTGGTTTGTTCTAAAATGAAAAAGACTGGTTTTCTGGTACTCTGCTTTACTCTTCCTTGGAGTAAAGCAGAGTACCAGAAAACCAGCTCGGTTGGTACTTTTATCACCAGTCACAAAAAGAGGCAGCCAAGCTTCTGGAGCCAGGGAACCTGTGGTCGAATCTCAATCACTCTCTGATCAAGTGACCTCAAAGATATTCATACTATCTATTAATGTCGTTGTAAGGATTAAATTAAATGAGTTAATGCCTCTAAAGAGCTTGGGGGAGCCTGTTACCTAGTAAGCACAACTCAAATATTGTTAATTTTTTAAATCTCTCTTTTAGATCACACTCTGCCAACAGTAAGGGTGATGCTGGTCTCTTTCTGTTTAAAAACCAAATTTTCTACTGAGTCACCTATGAAGTCTCTGAAGGATGCCGCAGGGTCTCAGCTCATTTGTAAAGCCAAAGTCCATGAAATACTCAGAGCTCAAGGAACGCTAACCAAACCTTTCCAAGCCTAGATTATCAACTGATACTTCCTCGGGAGCCAGGTAAAGTCCACAGCAGAAAGTTTCATTTTATAACATCAAAGTTTAGTTTTACAATATCCATAAGACTTTAAGCTTATAATAGTAAGATGAAACATACACTATTAAGATACAAGTGAATTTCATTGAACTGCTTTGTTCTATATTTATTACCACCAAGTATTCTTTTTATTATTTTCTATGAAAGCCCCCATGCTCTTAAATATTTGGGTATCAAACTGAGTAAGTTTTAACTAATTGTTTTCTATTTATATTAATCAGAAATATATTACTGAGATTGTGCTTACAACAAAAAAAATACCTGTTGGATGAGGTGGATGACATTTTCCTTGGTCCATGCTGAGTGAGGATAAACAAATGTTTATGAAGTGTTTTGGATTTGCTCACAACCTTGGTAGTATAAAAATCAGAAAGGTTTTTTTTTTTCCCCTATAAATTGGGGGAAAAGGAATGAAACAAAGCACACCGATTAAATATTACAATCACTGATTAAATATAGTAATTTTATATATTTAAACACAGGGCCTGAGCACCTGAGATTCAGGTAAAGAAAATTGTTTGGTTGATGAATTATGCTTAGACAGTTGAATTTTTTTTGCATATGTAATTGGAATGTAGATTGTATAAGAGTTAGACACTGGCATGGTCTACAAAATGGAATATATATTCCAAAATATTGTTGTAGCACAGAAATTTTTTTTCTTTGAGCCCAACATGGGGCTTAAACTCACCCCCTTGATATTAAGACCTGAGCTAATATCAAGAGTCAGATGCCTAAGTGACTGAGCTGCCCAGGTGCCCCCAGAAATTTCTCTTAAAGAAAGCCCATTTCCTACTGATTTCCATGATAAATATAGTCAGAATTTTTACTATAAGTCCTTATATCTTATTTAGGTTATAATAAACTTTAAAATAAATGTCTTACATTTGAGAGCAAACATAATCACTTTAAGGCCAGACTGTTAATAATAATCATATATATATGAAATAATATAGACTTTATGATAATATGGTATTGTGGTTAAAATTTAAAAAGAAAACCACTGGAGTGATGAGAATCCCTACTGCAGCAGTTGACCCAAATTTCATACTCCTCTCAGATTGCTTAACGCTTGCATCTGAAATCCAAAATCATTCTTTCCCATCATAAGAATGCCTTCTAACATTTCCAAGTATTCAAACCACCTACTTCTCCTTTTCACAAAATCCCTTTGGCATACATTTAGCAAGTATTATTATGTCACTCGCGATGAGGAAACTACAGCTCCATCAGGTACGATGTGTTGTTCATGATGTGAGTTCACATGATAATGAGGTAGCAGCAGAACTGGGAAAAGACCTAATACGTTAGCAGCCTTCCTGTGTCCCTTCCACAAACCACACCAGCTCCCGTCTTCACAGGGATTACTTTGTCTATCAGGGCAAATGTTTTATTTAGTGTACTTTTCAAAGTTTTCTACAAATAAATAGGTGCTCTCCGTCTTTCAGGCTCTCTTTACTGATTTTGTCTCTGACACCTGTGTCATGGAATATATCGATTGAACTACATGGTACATAAAGTGAAGGCCCATCTTTCTGGCTCAAGCAATTGATAAGTCATAACGAAAAATTAATAGGTTGTGTTTGCTTTAAACCTTCTTTTTCTTAGCATCATATTAGTTTATTCAACAGATGGCTAGTTTTGCCTTAAAGAGACTCTGAACTGCCAAAGCCATGTCCCTGACTTAGGCCCCAGGCTGGCTGGGAAAGAGAAGTCTGCCCATGGCAGATGGAATTAGACTTTGTTGGGGAAACCAGACATTGGAGTTTGGGGAAATGGACAACGAAAAGCCAAAACAGGAGATTAAAAGAGCAGCTGAGTCCTATACAAGATAGCGCCTGGTCCCTTCCGTGGAAAGGGATGTGATTTCAGCACCCACCGAGGTAGACATAGGAGGCTTCCTCTTCCTACTTGAGGCTTCCATCTCCCACGTCCTGTGCAGCCTCCCGAAAGCTGAGGGAAATCCAAGTATCAAGACACATACAAACCAGATGCGTAGGACCTGTGGGTCTTGCACATACCAGCTGAGCAACCCAGCCCTCCAGAGAGCCCTTAAACCTGGCTGCTAAAGAGACAAAACAATAGCCACATCCCCAGAGCTCCCTTGAATTCT